AAATTCAGTGACAATTTTTTGGATTATAAATTATTATTATAGCAAAATGTATGGTTATTTTATAGGAATAATAACACTTGAAACATACTCGAATTTATTTGTAAAAAATTATTAAAATATATATGTGCATACAGTTTTTAATAAATATATTTGAATAAGTATACATATGTAAATAAGCATACATATGTAAATTGAGTTACTTTTTAAGGAATGGGAAAGATTGTGTTTAAGGCACGTAAAGTACTATGCATGTTAATTAAAATGATAGCTCTAAAATTACCTCGCGATCTCGCGGCAAGATTGTCATCAAGCGACGCGCGCGAGAAATGTATACTTAATAAACGTTTAATAAGCTCGCGCTGTTTCTTTCCTCTTTAAGCAAATCGCTATGGGCGTTTTTAGTGGGAAGGGTAAATACTCGTCGCTAAATTGAATGAGCGGCAAAAATGTTTCAGGAATGAGGACGATTTGCCGCTGGCGTGATCGAGGAGCTTCGTCCGATCCGATGCGCGCGCGAATCGCATATCCTCGGAAGAGTCTGCCCGCCAGGAACACCAGCAATTACGCGAAATAAGCGACAACGCTTCGGGTTCCACCGAGTTACCCAACGACGGCGGCTAAAGAGCGAGGTTACAGCCGAGGAGCGGCTGCACCTTCGCCCCCTTTTCGAGGAAGTCCACGTGTCTCCGCGGATGCCTCTCGCGTGCCCGCCTCCGGTTTCCCCGCGTGGAAGATTCCGCATTCGATTGAGACTCGCTACGATCGCTACGATCTTTAACCCGCGTAATTGGCTCCGGCGCGTTCCACCGTCCGTCCGAAAATCGCGCATCTTTCCACGCTGAAGCAGGATCTGCCCGTAATTCGCCTGCTCACCCCAGTCTCTTATTTACTTCGCGATTTTCCTAATCGCTAGTTTTCTTGCTTTTCAGCTTATGCATCCGATTTAAAAATCACGTTCGTCCGGTTCCGACGAGGTCGTCCTCCCCGTCGCAGCGCTGCGGAAAGCCTGGCCATCGATCTCCATTCGATCTATTCTCGTACCAGTTCGCGGCGTACGATCGATATAAATAGATCGATGTAGTACTCGCCCGACAACTCGCGCGCATTTGTTCCGTGTCGACGGCGGGGCGGCACAGGATTTGTCGATCTTGACGGCAGAATTCTTCGTTTCTCCTTAGTCCTACGTACATACACATGCAGGCATCATTCGAACGCGAGACAGTTTATTTCCGGGTTGCGCCATTTTATTCGCGATACGTTGTCTATAAGTATGCGAATCTACCGTCGACTTGAACTTGTTTGTGGAATCGATATGCCACGTGCGAGGGCAACTATATCCGTCGTTGGAAATCGATCCAATTGTTACTCCAAACATCGTAATGTAATCTTCCATTGTAAAAGATGTATGTATATATGAAGAATTCTGCTATCTAAACCTTTATTTTACGAGATATTCTAAAAGGAATGACAAATGCAAATAAAAAAAACATCAACTTGCAATATTAATTTTGTCATTTTATATATTAATATCTAATCGTCTAATAAAAATTCTTATTTTTGTTAAAATTTAAATTCAAAATGTGTCAAGCATATTATTTGAAAGTGTTTTAAGATTCTACTTCTAAACTTTGCATATCTCGAGAAATTTTTATATCGCGTGTATTAAAATTAAGGTATTTTTTCTGCAATACAAAATCATCTTCTGATAAACGTAAAGGGTACGTTATTACATGGTGCAGGCGCGAGAAAAATATGCGTTACAAAGTGACGACGCGTAGATAGCCCGAAGCCGCCGTGAGGGAGAGATGGAGAAAGAGAAAGGGGGGCCGCGATCCTATCGGAAGTAAAGGATGATCCTGGTTCACACAATCGTGGATCACGATGATCGTCTATACGCCTACGAAGTCCCTGCCTTCTCGATCCTGCCACGGATCCTCTGGCGCTCCGGCCAGGCTGAATTTATCCGCGCCGAGATCATCCTGCGGGATATGCGGCGATATACTATCGCCGTGCCGGTAATATTCGGTCTGTTCCGGTACAGTGATATCGGTAGATCATGCACATTTACGGCGATAAGCACCGGGCGACCGCGTCGCGATCTTGAGGCAATTGCTTCCAGGAGCTAACTATCGTCGTCTAATAATAAGATTTTATCGAGACGCATATTGATAGCTTGGAAATATCTCAGATCGAATTAACATAAATCATCAGGATTATATTGGATTGAAATATCAACTATATTGTTAAAACTATTCGTATTATCATATTATAAAAATAATGGACCTCCTAAATTTCGAAAAAATCAAACGCGGAATCAAAGATAATATTTCACGTGAATAATACGTGCAGTAGAAACTTTGATAAATAGATTAAAATCATTATTTATACTTTCGTCTTTTTCATATCTAGCTATTTCTATATTCTACTTTTTAAACAACTTTTGGCGAATCGCGTTAAGGGTTCCGTATCCTATTCTCGATCAGCGAAGACGAGAGAGGGTACCTACACGGGACACGAATAAACTGTAGAAAGGAGACGGAGGTGGAGGTGGAGCAATTTTAACACGAGAATGGGCCCCTTAGGCCAAGGTGATCGAAAGCGATATACACGAAAGGAGTAACGAGCTGGCGTCGTTAGCGGCACACGGTGTATTTAGAGCGTCTGGGCGGGAAGGTAACAAAAAGGGTAACGAATTTCTTGGCCGAGACTCTCCCGTGCGAGACCTAAGGAGCACGCGGCGCGTTGCGTCGCCTCGACGGCAGATCGATAGTCTCGCCCAGCTGCAGCCCGAACGAACAGACGATGGAGATAATTTCGAAAAATGGTTTTCTACGTAACTCTCGTACGTGCGAGGCTTCTGGGATGCTGCTTTCACAAATCGCGCGTGAGATAAGGAATGTTCCATGCATTTCCCTCGTGGAACGTACGATTCGGAGAAAAATTTCAAGATCTTCAAAAATTCTAAAAAGAAAAGGGGCACTCTCTTTTATTTCAAGAAAGGAAGATTCCGCGAGTATATCTTAAAAATTTTTGAGATTTAGATGTACGTTCTTTCTCTCTCTAAAATATATTAATAATAATAATAATGAAGTTTTGCATCTACTGTAGGAAAATATTTCTTGCTACAGAGAAATATTCTGAAAAAAAAATTTAACATTATAAATTGTAAATATGTAAGTAAAGTAAATCTTAGCTCATAAATTTCCGCAGAGTTATTCTTGAAAGGGGTTCTTGTCTGCAGAACGATGGCCGGCACTACTGCGTGCCGTCCGCAGGAACGCAACGCGGCAATCGATGTGGGTTCAACGGTTTCGTTAACCTCCCGGCGAAAACGAAAGTCACCGTGTACAGCAACGTCAGAGAGACACAGCAGCAACATTAGCAGGCAGCGGCGCTGCATCGCGATGGTCGGGACGGTCTCGCCGGAGGAGGTCGACAGCATGGCGCGCGACCTCGATCGAGGACACTCGCCCGGCGAGAATCGCGGATATCCTTTCGAGCTTTCGTGTTACATCAAAACGCATTATGATGCAAAACGCGGCGTAACGTCGCGCGTGGTAAAAAGCGCATTACGGCGCGTTTCGACGCGCCAAAATGAATCTCCTTCGTGCCTTATCCTATTAGTACCGTGTAACTGTACACGCAGCGACGTACCTTCGCTGAGAAAATTTGCGGTCTCGCTGAAATGTCACACCTGAGTGAACCACAAACGTGATTTCGAGCGGCTAAGTATATTCCGAATATCCCATACAATTTCTGATATTCCCCTCTGAGCGCAGTAAGCGTGAATTTTTGTCGAGTACCGTTCTGTAAACTACAAAAATATTGAAAAACCGCAGGTTGCACATGCGGCACGTAGCCGCTCGATTTGTGTCACAAATCGTGCATGCAATCGTGTGTCACGATTGTTTTCGCTGACGTTTTCGAACACGAGCAGAAACAAACTCTCGAATGCACGCATTCCGAAACTGAATCAAGTGAACTGAGAACGCGATGAGAACAATCAGAACAAATCGTAAGAAGAGGGAAGAATGCATGTAGTAATATAATTGTGATATAAGTATAGTTTGCAATTGATTACGAATTCAAAGTCTGGTCTTCTTGAAATTTACCGTTCAGTTTGACTGTCCGCATCGCATTTAATAACATCGGAGCAACAATCGTACTAACTATTATCATGCAGAAACCAACAGTTAAGGGCAATCACGTTGCCAAATTGCCTCGACGAACTATTGTACAAGCATGCTAATCGATATACTTCGCGAAGATTATACCATACGAGCAATCTAAAACTATGCCGCCTGATCTCCCCGTTCTGTATTACATCAATATTACATACATTACTATAGTATTCGCTTCGAGAGATTCACACAGACATAAAGGATGATGTATAAGAAAATATAAAATTATATAAAAGATATATATGTATATCTTTGTTATTTTTAATGCATATTAAACGGCAGATATAAAGAAAAGAGGCAGGAAAATTGCAAATTAACTCGCTACGTAATCATAGCTTGTTAGCAAATGAATAAAAATAATCACTTTATATAACTCTACTACTACGACCGGATTGTATAATAAATGTGCCATGTGACGGCGCTTTACTGCAACTTTCTCTGCAAATTCACTAAATCAAAAGTTGATAACTCGATGTTACATACGTTATACGTATATGTACGAAAAAATTTTTCAGAAAATACGATATAGATATGTATAAGGAATACGTAAAAAAGCTCATAATTCGTAGGAAATAAAAATCAATAATTATATCGAACATTAAAAAACTGAAAAGCCACATTATTTCTGCATAAGTAGTAGAAATATATATTGTAAAAAAAAAAAGTATCATTCCCTTTAAGTCGTCACAGAGAATTCTCTCATTTCGCCATGCAAATTCGCCGACGCAAAACGGCAAATACAAAAGGGGGAGCGAAAACGACCGATCGACGAGGAACGAAAGGCGTGGTCGCATGCTATTAGTAATAGTGAAGACGTACCCTGTACCAAGTGGCCACCTGCGAGACGCTCAAAAGGGATGGAGAAGCGGTGTTGGCGGTTTATCCGTAACACAACCGGAAGGTGGAGGGTGGTGAAGGGCCCGAGTAAGGCGGGTTTTTTTTCGAGTGGCATTTGCGATATTTCGTTTGTTCGATCGTTCGCACGAAGGGGGGTTGGTACGCGGCGTTCGTAGATAGGGCCCCAACACAACACGAGACGATAGTAGCACAGGTGTGGCGGTTGGTGGTTGGTGGCGGGTGTATTTCGCCCCCGTGCAGGGTGAGGCAAAAGCAAAAACAACAACAACAACAACACCACAGGTCAGAAAATACACGATCATCGGCGATCACACGCATCGCGAGACAAATATACTTATATATAAATCTATACACATGAATAATAAATAATACAGGTGCATGTACATATCGTATAAGATGCTGCATCCCAGGATGAGTTGGACGTAATCGCAAATGACAAATATTTCTCTCCTTTTACTACAATACAGCTGTATATAATACAATAATATATAATACAATATATCATAAAATAATAATAATAATCATAATCATCATAATTATTTATTGATAGGACTAATATTTATCTAATTATTTAAATGATTCCAAGTGATTATCGACAAATTCATCCTGTGCAGCGCATAAATATTTGATGAGTAGATATAACTGAAAATAAAACATTAAATACCAAATCAAACTGTAAGAAAATACTGGGACAGGATCAAATCGGTACCAATACACGTTCTTTTTACATTTTCATGCAAGGCACACAATTGTCGTATATAACACAATCGATGAACCGTATACTGGTACCGCGTATTTAAATCGCTTTAAGTCTCCTTCACGTACCTGATACCTAGATCATACAATATATCTCAGCTATTATAAAGAAATGTATAAATCGATTTGATGGAACGTGAAAGAATTAAAGAAATTATTTCGACAGATCAATGAGATTGCGTGGGAAACTAAAACGAAATGAAGCGAGGAAAAATGAAAATGTCGAGTAAGCAACCGGTCGTTTTTGGTGGAGGACTTAACGGGGGCATATATCGGGGTCTCTGTGCTGTACCTCCTGTGTCCCGGAAGGCAAGCATGTGGGGCAGAAAGACGACACGCGTGAAAATTCTTGCGTGACAGAGAGCAAGAAAGAGACAGAGAAAGGAAGAGAAGAGAGGAGAGAGAGAAAGAGGAACGTATGACAGCGTGACGACTTCACAGAAAGCGAAAAGCCAACACAATATCGATATTCTAGTCTCTATTTCGCCTAACGGGGACACTCGCGCATGTGCGCGTGCCTATTCTCGATACGCTTCAGCAACAAAGTGCGTCTAACATGTGCTCTTGTGCGGTCGTCAAAGTTCTCGAGAGTCGAATGAAAGCACGACGAAAGCGAGTACGCGATGGGATTCAAAGGCGATGAGTATCGGATCGTGCAGTGTCGTCGACCGAATCGAAATGCGATTTCTTTGAAGTCGAAGATAAAAGGAAAACCAGTAATCAACGAAAAGTAAGAGTATTACGAGGAGGATTTAGCGCAGTGATGATTAACTCGTTTCTCTCTTAAAAAAAATTCGAGAAACATAAAATGTAATTTTCTCAAAACTTCAAGATTAATTATCCTAAAAAGAAGAGTATATTACTATTGTGTAAAAAACTTTTCAATTAAAGTTATAATTAAAAAAAAAATATATATATATATAATATAAACAGCTCCTAATTGCGTTGCATAGTTCAATGGAGAACATTTAGGGAGCCTTAATGATGTTTTCCTACAAAGAAAAGCTTCGATACTCTCGAACAAAAAAGAGAAGGGAAGTCTCGATCCGATTACCGTCTTTGAATCTGGCATACTCTTCGTGACTCTCGGCAGTCCCGTGGGACGATTCACCACGAAAGCAGCAGAAAAGACTGGAATCTCGCTCTCTCCTCGCCTCGAGAATTCGTCATTACTCGCTCTGGCGGCTCTTAATTTCGCGCTGTCTGCAATCTCGCGAAATCGGCATGTAAAGCGCGCTGCTGCCTCCGCTCTCAGTGCGCAACATTGTGCGCTGTACTTTTTGCCGCCCGAGGAACTACGAGCGGTTTCGCGACGACGAAGAGGGCGGGCGAAAGAGGGCAGAGGAGAGAAGAGGAGAGAAAAGGAGTGGAGCGTTGGAAATAGAGAGACAGAAAGAAAGACAGAGAGGAGAGAAGAAGGAAAAGAAAGAGAGAGAGAGAGAGAGGACGGACAGAGGGAGCGTCCTTCGAAAAAAGCCTGATGGAGTCCTTGGGATCTGGCATGGCGGTACGCGCGCGCGTGCGCGCGCGAGAAGCGGATGCACGGTGATAAATGACAGATCCGATGGAGTTCGACCGTAATCGGCGATTAATCGATACTCGGCGATCCTCGGTGAAATATACACGCGACCGCAATTTCCAGCGGGAACAAATCGCCCCGGGTGGCGCAGGTACGAATTATATTATACTACGCTCTCAAGAGAGAGAGAGAGAAAGAGAGCGCGGGCGAATTTCTCAACAAAATGCGACTGGCATTGCGCGTACGCGTACGGATATACGAGAGGGTAAGAGAGGCGAATAGCTGTGCTGCTCCGCTTCTGTCCTTTTCCGCGCGCCGTCCGTCTCTCACGCGTACCAACTCGCGCTAAATCGGGGCTACGAATTATATTACCGGCGCTTTCGATCGCGGGGGAATTTCTCAACGAAATACGTGTAATTATCGTGCGAAGGACTCGGCGCAAGTAAGTAAGCAAGCGAGCGAGCAAACGCGCGCACTCTCTCTCTCTCTCTTTCTCTCTCTTTCTCTCTCGCGCACGTCCGATGGAGATGGCAAAACGAGAATCCGCCACGGGCTTCATAAATTTCCGACGTAAGGATCGTCCGGCCAGAAATAACACGCGGGAGAGGTACGCGCGCGGGATTTATTGCCGCGAAAGAGAATAATGCGTTCCCGTTTTCAATTTCTCCCCTTCATCTTCCACCGCGCAACCTGCCTGCCTGCCTGTCCGTCCGTCCGACCGACCGCCCGTCCGTCCGTCCGTCTGTCCGTCTATCTTGCGCTATCGAGCAGCCGAGAGATAAATTTTAGTCCGGGAGTGAATCGTTCGATCGTCGTTAAGAGCATCGATATAACTCCAGCTCCGCAGGCTATTTTCAAGGTTTCCCTCGGGATATCCAGGAATATACACGAGAACTCCTCTCCTACCTACGTCGAAACGTTGTTCATACCTTGGGCAAGGACGCCAGACATTGCTGCTTCACGTCCCAGACCAGCTGATCCTTCGGGAACTGCAGACACTTGCTGACGTAGAGCTCGGGCACGTGGATCCGAGCGAGGAGCACGCCCTCATTGACGGGGGTGTTCTCCGCCGCCGCGAGCGCATCCTCCGCATTCTGCTGACCTTGACCCTGCGTAGGACAACCTTGAGGACCGATGACTGCCTGACTCTGAGACGTCGCGCTTCCGGGTGAGTCCTGTTGCTGCTGTTGCTGTTGCTGCTGAGGCGACTGCTGCTGCTGCTGCTGAGGCTGTTGCTGTTGCGGCGGCTGCTGCTTTGGTCCCGCCTCCATTGCGAGGACCTCGCGGTTCCTGACGATTCCACCTTCAGTAGCTCACATCTATATAACAGCAAAAAATCATCCGATCGGTTATTAATAATAATAAATTCCCATCAGTAAAAGTAAGACGTATTACGTAATAGCAATGGATAATCTCATTGAAATCGTATAATTCTACTAATCAAATATTATTTCTTTTCAAATATTAATTTGAAAAAAAAATAATCATTTATCGGGAGCGTCTGGCAAAACGTGGATTCATTAACGAGCGTGTAAGTGCTATATATACGCGGGAAGATGACAACGAAGAGACGACGGGTGTGCGAGAGGGCGGGTCGTATGCGAGAAGAGTGAAGGCGTTTCGGTCGGAGGGGACGAAGAAGAAATTAAAACGGCGAAGGATTCGCTTGTTTACGACCACGGCGAGGTATAACGGTAAAGGGAGGACGGGATTACCGCAATGGAAATAAAGAAACGGCGCCGGGACGCCGTGCTACGGCGATTTTTAACGCTCGTAAAAGGTTTTATGCCTCATGATGCGTGCAACATACGCGGGTTTTTCCTCCTTCACTTTTCGTCCTTTCTCTCTCTTTCTCCCGTTGCCCAGGCCTTTTTATTTTGGGCGTACGTCGGCTTCGCGATGCGTAATCAGAGATCCGAATCGAAGCGAAGCTACTACGGCGAGAGCTCCGGTCGCCGCTCGCTACCACAAACGCCGCGTCCCAACAATCATAAGAGCCGCGCACCTCTCTTGGGTGAGACGACCGTAATTTATATAACGCCAGGAATGGCTTTTCTTCCATACCGGGGGCCGTCGGGAAAAGAATGACCGATCCGTTCGAGGCGCGAGACTCATCGTTTTGAATTGATTATGCAAATTAACCGCGCGCTCACCTTCGCGTCGCGACTCGACGTACGCGTGCAGGGCCGGGCCCCCGTACACGAGGTAATTCTCTCGGTGCCTCTACGCGGACAATGATAAAAATATACGCTGAGAGAATTAATCTTGTCTTTAAGTCTGTAAAGTTAACGTATGTGCGCATCAATTATATCCCGATATTTGAATAAAAAAAAAAAAAAGAATGCGTGCGACCATTTATTACAAGAGCAACGTCCGACGATTTATAACGCAGGCGGTTTGGTATCAGAGAGAAAGCTTTGTGATATTGAATAATAAAGTTATAAAATGTAAGCGCGATGTAAGTCCTGGTATTCTTTGAGAACCCCTACCCTACGCAGGCTTCTTAAAGTGCCTTGATCCGACCATGGATATATGTAGTTATGAAGCAACATTGCAGGTAAACTTTTTCCACCTTCCAGGCATCCCGCGATTCCTGCTACGTTATTTTCAACCCGCGTTTACTATCATGACAAGCGTTTATATTAATTAATTAACTTCTGACTTTGCATTTATCTCGTTGCGCCGTTTGCCGCTTTGGCGCTTTTGAACTGCAGAACCGGAGGGATGCAGAGCCCTCGGAATCTGAACATTCTACAGATTCGCACAAACTCAAAAGATAAGATGAAACGATCTTTGATAATCGTGCGGGATATCCTTTGAGTCATCGTTCGGCGCACGGAAAGATTTCTATGAACGAGCCCCTGATAAATGGACTTCTGTCCTTCCTCATCACCGGTGATAAACCGGTGCCTGCCATGATATACGTATCGTCGCCAAGTGGACGAGCAGGCCAAATGTATTCGTCTTTATCCCGCGCATTTACGCTCACCGCCGTCGTTGCCGCTCGCCGTCGCGCGCGATAACGCGTTTCGCCGTTTTATAATTCCGCCTCCAACCTGTCGGATTAATCACCTACAACCGATGATAACTGACGTCTTAACAAGCGGCGCGCGCGCGCGCGCGTGATCGCTTTCACTTGAAAGTTTTCAACGAGACGAGAGTTTACCGCTGCCGCTGACGCTGCCGACGCCGCGCCGCCGCGCGGCAGACTTTTATTTCGTAATTCGCATACGCGCGCGTTGTCCTGCACAGAGCTTTTGCACTGCGAGCCATGTAATCCTACGATTAAGGCGCAGTACTTGCGTCATCTTCGGTAATGGAGTAACATGGAAACTTTACGATGCACCAGCGGTGCATACACAGGATGTTCGCGCAAAATCGCTCTATTTGTTCCTCTCTTCGAGGAAACTTCAAAGTTTGCTTTCTAACAAATGTTTCATCCATCGCTATTTTTGTTTGATATCAAAGAGATATAGTTAATATTATAATATAATAGAGTTAAAAATAAAATATAAAAGTAAAATTTTATTTATTATATTTTTAACTTTGATATACACTTGACTCGAAAAAAATAATATATTTCTTTTTGGATTGCGCATGTAAAATTCATATGGCATTTGTCATTTCGCATATAGAAATATTATTCTTGTGCATACAGAAAGCATACATAAATACTGATGTGGTACAAGAGAATATTATTTCAGAGAATCTTTGGAGGGGGAATAATGAAGATTGTTTTAAAAGCGTACCTTTATGTATGAGCAAGAAAGAAAATCAGGGTAAAAGGATTCCACAAAACGAATAAGAAACGCTGGAATCCTGGGGATATAAGTGTGAGATGTCAGGTGCTATGAGGAGAAGTTTGATGGGAAACCGCAGACACCATTAAACGTAACCCTCTTGTCGGGGGAGTCCGGACTGCGTTAAAACTTTAAATAACCTACTGACCATACTGCACACATGTATACATAACTTATGTTTCGAGGAGGAATGCATGAAGAAATGCACAAAGAACCGCACGAGGTCTATAAGATCGCATCTGCCGCAGCGAGCTAACGCAAAATTACTATCAAGTCGTAAATTCGCTCGAGACGTCGAGATTTTTGCACGACAAGCTTTCTCGATTTTTCATAAAAATTTACAATCCTACAGATAGCACAATACGTTCACATTTTTTATTGTTTCATTTAAAATATTTTACATTATGAACATGCACATTTCTGTAACCTTCTATGATAAAAAAAAATATTAAAAAAGTTAAAAATTTCAACTTACGATTGTAATATAATACAGATAACAAAAAATTGTTGAGGAACTTAATTAAATAATTTTTAATTATTCAATAAGATCAGACGCGTGTGACGGGAATTCGCAGAATGCTGCGCGCGATGCAATTTTCGCTTTCGTCGACTCGCTCGTCGCCGCGCGCGCCTATCGCACGCAATATTTCACAGTGGATTATAATAGTTGCGATGATAACGACACGCTACTTTTTCCAAGCGACGAATCGATCATCGCCGGCCCGATGGGGCTATCCGGCGAAACCGGTAGAGAAGTGGAGGACGAAGCAGCAGCAGAAGAAGAAGAAGAAGAAGAACAAGAAGGGAGGCTATAAGAAAGATAATAAGAGGGAACGAAGAGAGACGATGATGAACCGAGGGAGAAAGGGAGGGAGGGCTCATGGGTGCGTATAGACGAACGCACGATGGACGGATGGATAGACGGACCCATGGGTGGACTGACCGACCGACGGACGGACAGCAAACGCATCAATGACAAGACGTAAATCATAGTTTTATGACCCGTCTTTATGTGGCCCTTATTCGTGGCACTCATTGGTAGAAGAGAGCCTTTCGGATTTTTCTGTCTGGCCACCCTGTACTTGTACGTCCAGGACCGCATCGGTTCATATCGACTGTGCGAAGACTTACGCTTGCAAAACAATCTTTTATAAAGACTGAGAGAGAGCAACAAATTTTATTAATTTTTTCTCGACTATAAAATAACGTTAATTAAGAATTAATTACAATTAAGAGTTAGCGTATCTTTGGTATATTTTTTGGGTATAATAATACATATAGCATATACAAATTAAATTGAATGACATTTAATTTCTAATTTCACTGATGTAATACGCCTCAATTATTTTTTAAAGATGTCTTTACTTATGCACAAGTTGAGAAATTAAGAAAGTAATTAAATGGATGATATAAATGATTTATACAGACTTAAGTTCCTTTTTTGTCTGATTTTTAAATATTGGGAGTTTTTAAAGATTTCGACATATTTTTTTATCTTTTGTCATGACGCGTAAGTGCATGAGGAAAGCGTCTCAAAAGAATTTCGATGAGGTTCGCAATCGCGAAAATAGAGCTTTGCTCCTGTTTTGAATTCCGCTCGTAGATTCCGTTCCTCGATCCGCCCCTGAACGCACGTAAGTGCGTATATAACAGGTACCCGCTGCGTGGGCGTCGGTTTACGGGTTTGCTTTTAAGTGACCGTACCTTAATTCGCGCTGCGGTTAACAGTGTGTCGTGCTTAACGGTGATCCCGTGAGGGAGGATAGGGGAGAGAGTGAGGGAGAGAAGGAAAGAGAGAGAGAGAGGAGAGGGGTAGAAGTAGTAATTAAAAAAATCCGGTAACTGCACCGGTGGAAATACAACCCGGCGACAAAAAAGAGGGAAGGTGGGTGCACGAAGGCAGCGAAGGACAGCGCGGGGTTAAGGTACGACCCTGACATTCTGGATCTCGCGGACGTGGGTGTGCGCACCGCGCAACTTTGTTGCCGCACTTTTTCGAAAGCATCTTCTCTTCTCTTCTCTTCTCTCTCTCTCTCTCCACTTCGCTCCGCAGTCCGCTCCGGGCCGCGCGCTGCGGGTCCCGCGGAGCGCGGTCGCATTATGCGCTCGCGCGCGCATAAAAGGGAACGGCGTGCGCGAGCGAAGGCCTTGGCGCGGAGAGGTGGTGTGCCCGGCGAGGGTTATTTTTCAACGACATACGCTACGACGCCGCGGAAAGTGAATCGCGCCAAATAGTACAATTCAACGGCGACGCGCGCGCGCGCCTTTACGGCCCCCTTATCGCGCGACTGCGACTCGCGGGGGAAAGCACGGGGCGGCCGGTAATCTCGCCTGATTAATCCCAATTTTAATCCTGCCCCGCGGTGGTGAGCCGTCGCGCCGCGCCGTACACTGCGGACGCGTGAAATATGCCGGCGAAATTAATATCTCCCTCGATCCGCGTGCGAATGAATTCCGTCATGCGAAATGGCAATGCCGGTGCGACGCGCGATACACGTATTCTCGTAATGTCAGCGATA